CTACAAGAACTGGTTCTCCTTAAAGCTGTTCTAACTGCAGGGCTGTATGACAATGTGGGGAAGATAATGTACACTAAGTCTGTGGATGTTACAGAAAAATTAGCATGCATGGCAGAGACGGCTCAGGGTAAAGCACAGGTGCATCCTTCTTCTGTAAACAGGGATCTGCAGACCTATGGATGGCTGCTATATCAAGAGAAGGTAAGTTATTTTATTTTTTTTGCAGTATGAAAATGCAGTATTACGTTAAGGTAGGATTTATCCACATGGTTGAGGTGGGCATGCTTTATGGCTCTAGGTATGTTTGGCTTACTTTAAAATAATTTATGTTCTACACTTCTATTATAGGGTTTCTGTTTATTAAGGGGACTGAAGGACTTCTATGTATGTGTTTTGGGGAACACTTATTTAAAGATGGATCCTGATAAGATTTAGATGCTACGCTAAGTAGATCCTTTTATCCAGGAATTACAGAGACTTGGATTGCTGTCTTTTAGGGGTTCTGCTAGACCCGTGATGGCAAACCTTTTCCGGACCGAGTGCCCAAAATGCAATGTGTGCACGGCACCTGTGCATGCACGCAGGACCCCCCCAAGTGCCCTGCCCCCTCCGCATGTGTGCACGGCCCCACCATATGTGCCCTGCCCCCGTGCATGAGACCCAATGACCAGCTGGCCGGCGGGAGGCATGCGCACATGTGCAGCGAAGCTGAACTGGGGCGACAGTTTGCGTGCCCACACAGAAGGCGCTGCGTGTCATCTGTGACACACATGCCATAGGTTCGCCATCACGGTGCTAGACCATTATTATCAATGGAGGCTCGTCATTATTGAAGCTAGCAAAGCTTTTTCCAGCTTGTGCACTTGATTGATGGACTCTAGCCATTCTGTATAAAAGTAGCCTGATCAAATATCAGTATAGTGCTTACTACAAGACTGAATTATTGTGAAGTGCTTTATGTGCAGATGCCTTTTTCCATGCTATTTTTATGTAAAAAGTTTGTTTTGTTGTTGTTAAACTGATACATAGTGCCAGAATTTCATAAGTACCAATGCTACTTATTTACTTAGACTATGCAAGTATGACCTTTAAAAACTACTTTTATTCTTCTACACACAACATTTTTGATAACGACCTTGAATATGCTGCTTTTATAATAATATTTTCAAATGGGTATAAAAATGAATTCCCTGGATAAAAAAAAAACTGCTGCATGAAAAACAGTAATTTGATAAACCAAATTAATTGTATTTTGCCTTTTCCATTCAGATTAGATATTCCAGGGTGTTCTTGAAAGAAACAACCTTAATTTCCCCCTTTCCAATATTACTTTTTGGTGGAGACATAGAAGTATTGCATCGTGAACGCCTTTTATCAGTTGATGGCTGGATCCATTTTCAGGTATATCTTATGTTATGTGTGAGTTAGGAAGCATTCTGTTAGACCACTAGACTGTGTTTTCATTTAGCATGCAAATTCCATAGACAGATAAATTCTGATAGAAAGCAGATTACAAAAAAAATGGACTTGTCATATTTATTGATAATAAGTGTTCTCAAACTTACTAGGCTTCTGCTCAGATTCTGTAAAGAAAAAAGAGCACAAATAATGTTTTGGTCACTGGCTTGAGTGTTTACTCCATTCACTTTGAGACACTGGATTTCTGTGTCATCTAACTTACGGAACTATAATTTTAAGTATCTCCTGTTAAAATATTACTCATTAGTTCATACTGACATGAATTGGATGTAACAGGAAACACATTTAACAAGGAATAACTGTGCATTGGTTATAAAATAGAGTAAGTTCTAACACTGGAATTCTTGACTCCTTTCTAAAATTACAAACTCTAATTTTAAGCAGCATCATTACGTCTCTTCAGGCCAATGTGTTCCAAAATTTGTCTCAATGTCATAGTCATTAAAATTGTTTTAATCTTAATAATTATTAATAAAATAAGCAATTTGACATTACTATTTTCACAGGCCCCTGTAAAAATTGCAGTAATTTTCAAGCAACTGAGAGCACTCATTGAGTCTGTTTTAAAGCAAAAACTTGAAAACCCTAAAATGTCCCTTGAAGGTAAGTTTGTTTCTATGTTGCCATGAAAAATTCAAATAAATATATATGTAAGATATGTGGGAAAACTGTCTGCATTCTTGCTGAAAAGTATTCATATGGCAGATGCTTATTTTCCTACAAAACACATAAGTTACCTTGTAGGATAGGTATAGCTATTTACCAGATGCAGTCATTACTTTTCACTAGCAAGATCTTCAGTGAATCACATAATTGCATTTAGTGGGCAAGGCTAGCAAAAGATTTTAATTTTAATCAATTTTTGGGGGAGAAAAAGTTTTTCAATGCTTGGAAACTGTAAACAAAAATTCAGTGGTAAAGTCAGTGGCAGCAAGTCCTAAACAACTATTTCCATATAATGGGTGTTCACTGATTATGAAACTATAAGAAAGAGAAAAAAAAACCTCGAGTCTATGGTTTGTATCTTTAATTAAACTATGTGAAACAGCGGAGATGCTAACCTTTTCTTATTTATGATTTCTGGCCTTGTAATGCTATGTGCCTCTTGCCAGGTACAGTGCATCTGGCCATTTGACAAAACAGCCATGATAATTTTGAGTGGTAAGAAGAATTTAGTTTATTATTTCTTACTTAACACTGTTTTTTTTTTAGATGACAAAATTTTGAACATCATCAAAGAACTGATAAAAACAGAAAACACTATCTGATAATTCAGAGCCCCAGAAATTGGAAAAAGAAAAATATGACTGAAGAATGTGTTTGTTTAAAGAAAACAATGCAATCAGCATTAGGACACTGCTTGAACTTTCCACATACATTCTGTCATTCTGCAAGAAATAAGAATGCCTTGTAAAACTAATAATAAAATCTTTTGAACAGTGGGTATTCAAATTTTTAAAAATGGCAACAATAGAGATGGTTTCCGTATAAAAATGGGAATTGTTTGTTGTTGTTTTTTTGACATCTTGATTATGCTTTCAGTTGTAAGATTTGAATCCACAGCATAGATTTCTGTTCTCGTAAAGGAAGTGCAATTGAGAAACCAGAATCTTTATTTGCCAAAATGCATGAATAGATTAGATAATTATTAAGCAAAATTTTATCTGTGTCATTTTAAGAAATTGTTTATTTTCATTCATTACCCAAATGATTACTTGCAAAAGACATAGTACAGTTCGTAGTGCCAGAATGTGCTTTGGTATTTCTAAACGTTTATTGTACAAACATTTGCTTGAAGTCCCAGACTGTTTTTAGAATGCATGGTCCTAGATTGAGACTCTCTGTCTGAATTCCGTATTATAAAATTGTAGGAGAAATATTAAATCTTTTTTAAAAAAACAACAACATACCACCTCAAATATTTAGAAACTTTTTTCTTCATATAAAGAAACTATACGGAAGAAGAAAAATTATGCATACTATCTTTTATATGCCTTTTTATAAGCGTAAACTTCATAGAAATTTAAACTTGATTCATACTCAAAGCACATGTTTGCTTTCCTCTATCATATATAACGCTACTCTCTTTTCACTAAAATTTGCAATACCTCTAGTATCAGGCAAAAAGTTTAAAACTAAAACAGGCGAATAAGTATCTTACACTCAGCTGAGTTTCTACAAATTATTGTCTTTGTAAAACAAAGAACCTAAGAGTGTGCAAGTACACCACGCTATGTTCCACCAACCATAATTGGTGTATCAAATTTCATGTATTAAAAATACTGTATGTCCTATAAACCGAAACGTATTAAGTGATGAAAGACTCAAGCTTGTTAAGTGTAAAGTCATGTACTTCAATAGTACAAGTACAATTTTAATATTAAAAATAAAAATCATTCCTTTTTAGATATGATCCTTAATAAATTGTGATGTCAGATTGGGATATTACTTTCTTCTTAGTATTTAAGATCAATTAGGGCAAAGTGTTTTATTGCAAATGTACAAACTGTTAAGAAAAAGGCTTTAGAAAAAAAATACAATATAATAAAAATGTGACATGCTTTCTTTTCATCAGCTAAAACTTTTGCCTCACTTACTTAAATAAGCTCTTGTTAATCTTAATCCTGATTTTTTTATACAATTGAATCAGCTCTTAAAATGTCAAACAGAAATACTAAAGTACTTTTTGTAAGCAACTTGCAGATTTCAGTATTTCTTAGCAACTGATCTTTCCTGAACATACAGTTCTGTTGATATGCCTGAAAAGGATGAAAGTCTTACAAAGATTTTATACTTGCTCTGCTGTCAATTTTAAAGGAAGGAACTAATTCCCAAATCTTAAAAAGCTGCAACGTAAATCTAGTTATTACTATTTTAAAAGACTGTACACTAGCACAGCAGATCCTGGAACTGCCAGATAAAGTCCATTATCAGTTTCAATTGCATTTTTCATAAGCAAGTTCTTATGAAAAACTTGCTCTAGATCTGTAGGAAGAACAGAAAATAATGACTTGGCATATGCTTGGAGGAAAAGGAAAATGAAATTTTTGGGGAAATGAGTCAAAAGAGTGATACGGTAGGTGACAACCTAATTGGGAAAAATAATAGACTAGGTATGCAGAAGATAATTCAGAATTATAAGCAAGATAATTGTAACCAAGACAAAAAGGACAAGTATAAAAATGGAAAGGGGTGCAGATAACACAAACAATACCAGCAAACTGCCCAAATTTGCAAAGACCAAGTCGGGAAAACAAAACCTGAGAATGAACTAAGACTTGCAACAAGTGTCAAACATAATGAGTAAGGAACAAGAAGACAGTCAAGGAAATGATCAGTCCATTAATGGGAGAAGATGCACAAGAAGATTATGGGCTACAAGGAGAAAGTGGAACAGCTTAATTCTTTGGTATCTGTCTTCATGCAGAAGGAAAAACTAGTCCCAACTACCAAAAGCAGGACTCTGAAACAGCAGAACTGCAGATCAAAATAAGCAAGAAATCAGTAAACAAAACACCTACCGTATTTACTCTAGATGGGTCAGGAGCAGATGGTTTACATCCCAGGGTTAAGAAGGAGCTTGTAGATGTTATCTTGGAACCACTGAACAGAAGCTGAGTTTCTGGAGCTTAGAGAAACTGCCAGAGTCTGGAAAAGATCTGATGTTCCAAACTTCCAACAAGGGGAAAAAGGTGGATCCAGGAAACTACAGACCAATCAGCTTGACTGATATCTGGGGAAAATTCTGGAAAAGATAATCAGGCAGTGGATTTGGGAATACTTAGAAATAAGTAAGACAATTACTAGAAGCCACCAATAGGTTTGTTAAAAACATACCTGACAAACTTTATTGCCTTATTTGATAAAGTGACAAAATTATCAGATCAAGGAAGCGCTGTGGTCTTCAGTAAGGCATTTGACTAAGTAGACCATAGTCTATTATTAGTAAGATACTACCACCAGATGGCTATGTAGTTGGTTGGCTGGTTGATCCATTCAGCATTTAGTCCTCAATGGAACTACATCTACATAGAAGCATGGGCTACCTCAAGGTTCTGTATTGGGGGTAGTGCTCTTCAACACCTTCATAAACGATCTAGATGATATAAATATGGTTATTGTCCTTTATCAGACAAGTCAATTTTGCCATTTCTGCTAATTTTATTTGTATAATTAATTAATTTACATGCCCATATTGCTTTCCAAAGCAACCTGGGCAGCTTGATTCTATAATCTTCAGCCATTCCTCCACTGTGGGTGTTTCAGTCTCTTCATTTCTGCCTATATAATCATTCTGCAGCACTTATACCTCCCATAACTTCTCCAAAATAATCTCAACTGCAGTAGACAGGGAAAGCTTGAGTTATATAAACTTGATTTTTGCAGCAAAAGCAATGCCTTAAACACACCCTTGCCAAAAACTGAAATGTTTCAGATTAATTGTCGTGTGTCAAAAATTTGAAAAAGGAATCCAAAACAATTAAGGGGCTTATATATTTCCTTAATTCTTACTATATAGAGCAATTTCTGAGTGCTTTTCCTTAGGAAAACTATATAAGAAAAGGATACACAAAAGAAATATAATACAGTAAGGAAAAATGTGAAGAATTCAATCATCCATAGTTGCTTTGTGTGAGTCGGTGGCCTTTATAAATGTGATTGATAAATTAAATCATTCCACAAAAGTCGGATGAGATTCAGGATTTATGAAAGGTAAATTTCTTCATGCATCTATAAAGCACATTGTGAAACTGAAGGTGACAGCCCACAATTTATATGGTTTTAAGAAAAATTAAACAAGGGTTGAAGGGAAATTATGTAATGCAGAAATCCAGGAACTGGTGGAGGATAAGGCTAAGCTTATATATGTTACCTCTAGGATGCTTCTTTCTCAGGGTCAGCTGCTAGAGAGAATACTGTTGTGCTGATGTCTTATTGCCAAGGCCTCTGGTGATTGGTTACTGTGGAGAGGATGGCTGTAGTAGTTGGGCTCAGTGTTAAACGTCTGAAGTAGCTTTCTCTTACGTTTTTATATGAGCGTTTGTGATTTCAAAACATACTTTGTTTCAGGGAGATGCCAGTACTGTATGTGTCATAACATGAATTATTTTATAAAAAAGGATATTTTTCTGACTGCCATTTATAGTTTTAAGTTCCTTGTTTTTTAAAAAAAAAAAAAACTTTAGCAGCCATTCTGGTTTTCTTTTAGGAAGCCTTAAGCTATTTTAGTAATCTAACCATTTCGTATTTCAAGAAATAGTCTTTTCAGGATACAGACTTCCAATAATAAATCCATTCTCCTTAATCTGATGTCCTCTAGATGTGGATTCTTGTCTTATTTCTATTTTGCAGAACCAAAAGACAAGCCGCCAAACAGAATTGTCCTACCTAGCTTCACTCCTTCTGCTAAACTATTGTGTTTTTAGGTTTGGTTTAGCACAAAGCTTGTTTAAATCCAAGCTTTGATTATAAAATAATTTGGCCATTTTGTATTCCATATACATTCTAGCGGCTATTTGTTCAAGAAAGCAGGGCACAGGTGGCTTAGTGTAAAGGGTGAATATGCTCAACATGTCAGCTTTATAGTAATTCACACAAGGTGTATGTATACGTAAGGGGTCGTCAATCTGGATTTAATAATCACTCTAGCTAAGCCATTCAACAGCATTAGGCCCGACTTAGGCCCGGCAGTTAGACTGGCGAAAGAGGAAGATGGCGCCTTTCTTCACCGCCTCTCGGCTCTCCTGTTCGCGCTGGAGGGGCACATTCTGCCTGCCAGCTTCCAGAAAACAAGGGCTTTTGAATCAGGCCAGACCTAAAGGCAAGGGGATCTAAAGCAAAAGAGGGCCTTCGACGGGTGTGTGTGTGAACCCTCAAAAAAGTTTTCATGGGACCGGAGCGCTCGTCTCTAGGTCCTTCGACCGTCTCGAGGGCAGATAAAATGGCAGGCGCCTCCTCAGAAGGACAAGAATCGCCTCCCAGGGCGTGAGGTCGGGAGCCGACACCCGCGCGCCGGGGCCGAGGGACTTGCTGCTACCGCTCGGAAACCCCAGGGCGCCTTGCGAGAGCGGTTCTTTAGCCGGGAAAGAGGCGACGGGAGAAATGCCTCCCTGGCAGGCGGGCGGGCGGGCGGGCGCAGGGGCGGGGCAGCGCCGCCGAACATATAGCCGACCCCGCGCCTCTCGCCTCGGCGCTGCCCGAGGAGGCAGCCAGGAGCGCGGAGCCGCAGGATGGTCATCACACGGATTAGCCAGGAGCGCGTCGCGGCTGCGGCTCCGGCACCGGGCGGGCGGCCAAACCCTCCACTCAAAAGGCGGCGGAACGAGGACGTGACCCCCGAGGATCGGCCTGAGCCCCCGGGAGACGCCGCTGTGGCCGGCCGCCAGCTCCGCGCGCCGGTCAAGAAAAGTAAGCCGCCTCCGGTGGGTCGGCTTCGCAGCCGCGGCGAGCCCATGCGCCCTCTGGAGCGGCAGATCTTCCGCGACTACGGGCAGAGCTGGTACCGCTTCCGAAAGGAGCTAGAGGGCAAGTTCCACCCGTTTGACCCGCTGGCGCAGCAGCCACAAGTAAGGAGAGAAGGGCGGTCCGAGGAAGAGAAATCATGTCGCTGTCCAGCCTGGTCCGCCCTTCGGCCCAGAAGGAGATCGCGGTTCTTCTTTTCCATGTGCCCACCATAAGCCTGGGCAGAGTTTCCCCCGGGCCAAAGTCTTCCTCCTTTCTGCTCTATCCTGAAAGGACTTTTCCAACGTTAAGTTTATACTGTGGTGGAGGATTCAAAGTCACGTATTGAACTAATAAATCAAAAGATGCACACACACACACACAAATACATATACCCTTACACAAAGCAATTCTGGCAGTAAAAGCGCTAGGTTTTGTTTGGGATGCTCCTCCTTTTTCCTCCACAGAATGCAATTTTGTTTAGGGAGAAACCTTGATGTGCATCACCTGCACCAAGATAGGAATCCAAAACACAGACTGATCTTGATGCACAGTCATTCTTAAAAGAGCTGCTTCTGGGACATTTGAAAATTTGGATGAGAGGCTGATTGGCAAGACGTGATGGGGCAGGATCTGAGCTTCAAGGGATCTTTATCTTAGATGTGATATGGGGAGGAATGCCAGATGTGCATTGTATTTTGACTCAGATATATCCCTTATGAATTGCTTCCATTGTTACACACAGACTGCTATGTCTTTTGTATTCTTGGAATTTTGACTACGGTTTGCATCTGCATTATAGTCTGAACATAGTTGTCGGATATGCTGCAGTTATGCTCTAATAATACTGTTTTACAACAGGTATATTGCTTTGACATAAAAATGCATATCAGATGTTAATAAAACTAGATATCCGTTGCTTTTTGTTTCTAAATTCTCAGACACCTCTTGGTGATTCATCCTAATGAAGATAGTGGAGGATTGTATTGAACAGTAGGGAATGACTGACATTGTGATTTGATGCCTCCAAAGCACTTTAAATATTTTTTTCTCCATGCCATGTGCCATTCTTTGTTGGATTTTCTTTATATCTTTCATACATGGCTTTTTCAGTAAGGACGGAAGAAGGAACACTTTTTTTCACTAAAAAAATAAAATTGCTTAAATAAGGGAGTAAATGTATGTTTGTTTTGTTGAATGTACATATCTTGGTTGTCTATGGAGATTCTCAGGCACCCAGGTCATAGTTGTCCCAAAGGTGCTTTTTCAAGAGGCAACTGGACTTTCTTATTTTCTTTGAAGACATTTCACTTTTCATCCAAGAAGCTTCTTCAGCTCTGACTGCAAAGAATATAAATCCTTCCACTCCCCACCATCCAGTCAGAGCTGAAGAAGCTTCTTGGATAAGAAGCGAAACATCTTCAAAGAAAAATCAGAAAGTCCATTTGCCTCTTGAAAAAAAACACCTTTGGGACGTATCTTGGTTGTTTTGCAATGGAGGGAGAGAGTTGAGCATGGCAGGAGCTGACCAGTCATAAAATGAATGTGGATGACAGTCAAATGGAACTAAAGCCCAATAAATTGCAAACATATTTGAAAAACATAACTGATAAATACAATATCAAATATGATTGCAATTAATATTTTTAGTAAATTAGTAGCAATTACTATGCTCAGGAGCATGGCTGCATTTCTGTTTTTTCTTGTTCTCATATTTGTTCTTTTGGTCATAGATTCCTATCTGTTTACACTTATAATATAAATAATCCTATATTTCTTATTCCAATTTGACCAGATTGATATATCTGCTACATAGCCTTGTAATAGCACAATATTATAAAATCTTTACTTTTTTAAAAAGCAAAATAGAAGCAAAATCTAACCTGCAACCAGTTAGTTGTTTGGTAGTTAATATATGGTAGTTCCTTTGTATGCTTGCCACTTTGTAAACATGCAAATAACTGTTTTTTGGATGCAAATGCATTCATTATTTCAATTATTCACATTTATTCACACTCAAAGCACTTTAAATCATGAAATCAGAAGTAAGCAGTAAAGTCCCTTGTTTTTGAACTACTTCCATACTAACATTTTAATCTATTGTATTCTATGCTGCATGTAGATTTCAGTGATACCTCTTTTGCATCCTAACGTCTTCTTTTATTGGCTCCCCAGATAACTACAGATGCCCGTTGCAAACTGATCAGCTGGCTCATTCCAGTGCATAAACATTTTGGCTTTTCTTTCGAATCCTTATGCCTGACAGTAAACACTCTAGACCGTTTTCTCACAACCACCCCAGTGGCTGCTGACTGCTTTCAACTCCTTGGAGTCACCTCACTTTTCATCTCTTGCAAACAGGTACTAGGGTCTAGAAAATTTCTTCTTCTCCTTCTCCTTCCTCTTCTTCTTGCAATTGGTACCTGCTGCTGTTAAGAGAGAGCACATGAGCAAACTTTATTTAAGTTATAATAGGAGAAATGTCTGAAGTATGTGATTGGAAGTTCAAAAATGCTACTGAAGTCTCAATATAGCTGATCATTAGTTTTTCCTTTGTTCATCTAATATTGAAATTATGTTCACAAAAAGCAATTTTATGTTGGACTGTATCACAGACTGCTCTATTCCCTCCTGAATCATCAGTCACTTTGTTCAGTTTCCTAAATTCATTTTTAAAAAAACAGCCAAACAAGTGTTGTTCTACTGGCCTCAGCCTATTGTTAAAGAACATAACACCTCCATCCTCCTTGTTGCAGGATATCATACTTCAGAGGATAAACATACTGGCTTTAAAGCCTGACATGAATTGTGAAAATTCATTACAGAAATTTCCTGTCTTTTCTTTGGCCTTGAAACCACCTGTAGTCCATCCTTCAGAAACCTCTCCTAAATCAGATTCAAAAAAAAGTCTGTCAGATTTTTTTTTCTAAAGAAGTAAAATTGAGCATAGAGAACATCTAGAAATGGGAGAATAATCAATTAGAGTCTTTCAGAAAGATTCTGATGGGCCACAGGAAATGGATAAGGAAGATACCAAGAGCTTTCGTACCATATTAACATCTTGGTATCCAGACTACGATGTTTAGAATTTCCCAATCAAATCTCCCTCTCTGTGGAGATGTGTGCTGCAGCTTCAGAAATCAATACCTTAAAAAGGCCATTGCAGCCGAGATTAAGCCATTTAAATCTACATTAATCTGAACAAGTTAATTGTGTCTTTTAATCTTCCAGTTTATGAATTTAATTTTGGAAAAAAAATATGATACTAATGACATTAAGAGTGACAAGAAATAACATAGAGAGCTTTATCACTGGAAAAAAACAGTATTCAGTGGTGTATTGCAACAGTACTGGGAGCATCCCAAGATATATCTTCTGCCTAAATTCCCATGTATTGCTTTCTATGCTTGTGTGTTTTACAGGTAGAAGTGCACCCACCAAAGGTGAAACAGCTCCTGGCCCTTTGCTGTGATACTTTCTCTCGCCAGCAGCTCTGCAACCTGGAGTGCATCATTCTCAACAAGCTTCACTTCAACCTGTCAGCTCCTACCATCAGTTTTTTTCTTGAACACTTCACCCATATGCGAATGGAAGCATGTGAAGCTGATGTTTGGGAAGCCAACAATGCCAAAGCTCTGGCAAAAGGTGTGGCTGAGCTTAGCTTGGCCGACTATGCCTTTAACAAATACTTGCCTTCCTTGTTGGCTGTCTGTTGCTTGGGGCTGGCTGATCAGATGTTGCAGCA